GTCTTGTAACTCTGGGCTCAAGGGTGAAATTCATCCAATGTGCTTAGCAGTTTCTTCCATAGCTCTTCAACAGCACTTTCCTTCTGAGGATGCAAAGTGATTTGCAAACATTAATTAATTCTCATAAAGCCCTATGAGGCAGATAAGTGTAAGTGCCCCTGTGTTAGTATATAGGAGGAACATGAGACCTGAGTGCCTGCTGATCCGTGCTCCTCTCTATATTCATTCCCAAAAAGGAGTATGCGCGTCGGGGCAGTGGAAAGCCCTGTTTTTTGGGCATTCTGGCATTTTGGACTCACTGCAGTCCTTACAGGGTAGTGTTCTGGAATAACCAAAATACAGTTTAGATTCAGATCAGATGAGCAGCACTTTATTACTACAGAGGAGCTTCTGTCAGTAGAGGCCGTCACTCTGCTGCTGTGTGGTCTGCCCTATAGCTACTGCTTCTGCTCCGACCCAAACCTGCACTGTACTCCGTGACAGCAGGAAGAGCAGGGACAGGATGAGTGATCAGCACGAAATTCAAGCTACACAGATCAGGAAAGAGAGGGAGCCTCACTGTATTCGCTGCTGGCATTGGGGAAAGCAGGACTTTCTAGGCAACTTGTGGGTCATTTGCTTGCTCTGTGCTCCAGCACCCTGTTTAAAGGGCAGCTTGGGCTCCAAAAGTAGAAAATGCACCTGAAATTTCACACCTACTTGAGGACTAGCAAGAGCAACACAGCCAGACAGCACACATACACAAAGGATTTACCTGAGGAAATAATCCTCAGTTGAATCCTGCCCTTCTCACTGAGGAAAACCATACTCTCTTGAGAGAATCATGTGGAATGCCTTGGACTTTCCAAATCTTTTTGTTTTTCTTCTGTGTGGATTCCTCTGGTGAGGGAAAGCAGTTCCCAAAGTGACTTTCCCAATGCATTAATTAATATTAAAAGCAACTCAAAGCACAGTAGCCAGGAATGCTGGCAGTGGAGCCTTGTCCTTACTGAAGGGAATGATAACTTTATGAGAGACATTAAAGCAGCCAAAGTCTCATGCTACCAGTATTGTGTTAGAGACATTGTCCTGCCATTTTCTAGAGGTAAGAGCATCCAAATGTTTTTTTTTTTTTTTTTTTATTCTGACTAATTTATCCATGGTCACATGCCTTACCAGCCTTCAGTGCATGGCACATCAATGTTAACAATTATGATTATGGTAGTGATCAGGCCTCGCGGGCATATTTATAACATGAGAATCAGAGTAATTCTCTGGTTTCAAGCACAATAACTTCCAACATGTGATGTAAATGCTAACAAAATGTTATCAAAAAGAAGAGGCATGTTGGATCTGTGCCACTCAAACTCCTGTCGTTATCTTGCAAATTCATTCTTCAGGCACTGTTTGTATTTCTGTTGTGTTGGAGAGATTCTATTCTTTAGTTTGAGTATCCACCCTTAATGGAGGGAGGCAAATGTTGCTGTTGTTGTGAAAAAAGAAACATTTCTTTTTGAAATATTAAGCATTAAGCAGATTAGGTACAGGCAAGGCATACTGCAGAAGGACATGTCCTTTATATAGCTTTGACCATGAACTCATGACCCTCCAGAAAATGTAAGAGTTAAAAAACATATTGCTTTGACAATCTTTTCATTTAAAAAAAAAATCTTGTAAAAATATCAAGGAATTCAGCCATTGTTATTTACATAAAATTCAACCTTTCCTGCTTAAAAACACAAATCACTTAATGTCACATCTGTGGGGTTGCTAAGGCAGATGCCATTAATCCGAGTCATTTTGCAAATTCCAATTTCATTTGGATTAAAATCTACAACTAAGTCAGTCAATAGTATATGCTGTACGTGCAATAACAGGGGTGACTACTAAAGTCTCTTGGGTAGATAAAGTAGATTAGCCAGGTCTAAGCATATGTCCTAATCCAGAAAAAAAAGATATCGTGACATTTCAGTGATGTAGATTTGAATCAGTAGCTATGAAAAATGGTTGCACACTTGTACTACAAAAGAGATACTATGGCGCAGTCCCAAAGGTGCATTTCTTATAAATTAATTAGCTGCACAAATTATTTTGATAACAGTTACTGCACTTCTGAGGTGATACGGCTGCTCAGTGATAAGTACTTGATGATCAATGGTAGGCACTAGTAATATCTTTCATGCTGAGTGACTTTTATTACTATTTAGATTTACAGTATATACATATGTGCTTGCATCTACACTTAGGGCTTGATCTTCCTTAACCTCCTTCCCTAAAGTCCTGTGGTCTTTGTAGTGTTTCCTCACGAATGCTATGATATTTGGATACGAGAAATAGGCAGGCAAGGGACTGAGATTTCCTTCCATGTGATGGGAGGACCATGCTTTGTTTTTACCAATACTTGAACCTATGCTTTGCTCTCATCTGCCATCCATGCCACCATGAAGTACTATAAGGGGTTAAGGCCAGCATGATCTGCATGATCTTGCTGTCAGTGAACATCCTGTAGACCCCTCTGCATGGGCTGCACCCACCTCCACTTTGTGGTTCCTTTGGGTGCAACCCGATTGCTTTGCCAGCGCGACTGATTCAGAAACCCCTGTTTGTAAACAAACCTCTCCCCCCAGGCATAATCCTGCTGGATATGTACAGGACTTCTTATTTCTGCCAAATGAACTTTTTGCTGTGGTGTAAAGAAGTCTACACGATCCTGAACTTTAACAACAGATTAAAACAAACGAGCTTCTTTCATGGAGCCCCAAATAAGAACAATCTCCACTGATCTCACCTAGAATGCACAGAGGCCCTTCAACTCTTGCTGAAATAACTAGGGACTATTTAGGTTCTTAAACTGAAGCATATCCTTAATTGGAACATACCTACACTTTTCGAGATCAGGCCCTAAGAAAACAGAAGGGAAGGACTGGTTGTCACTAATTCAGCTCCCACAATTCGAACAGCAGCCACCCTATACAGTAAGTAGTCTGCACAGAATAGTATTGTGAAAAACCTCACCAAATTAGTCCAGTTGTAAGAAGCCCTATGGAGAGAAGGCCAAAACCTCTAATCCATTTAGATGTCTAGTTGGTTTAAATGGCTGCTACTTCATCCTGTTACACCACCAGAGATTAAGACTCGGAATGCTTATCAGATACTCAACATAAATGATGGCAGCACAAAAAAATGAAAAAAAAAAAGAAGTGTTTTTCTGTGGAAATCAACGGGTCTTTTAGGTGGAATACTTCAATACAAGTACAATTTCTACAAAAAAAGGACAATCATCTACAAGAGATCCTAAGCACTTGGAAACACATGACAACAGGACAGCGTTAGTTCTTGCATTTCTTTGAAGTGGCTTGACATATGACATCCATATAGGGTTCATTAAAATTAAGAACAATATCTTCATCTTACTAAAATAAGCATGCTTCAAAGTTCCATACCTGAAACTCAAAATGCCAAGTGTGCAATAAAACCAACTCCATTTAAGGCAGTAATACATATCTAAATTTCCTCAACATTAAATAGCAATAAGGACTCCCAGAATGTATCTGAAGACAAACATCACAGGCACCATTGAAGAAAACAAGCTAATCTAAATCTCCCTTTCCTCAACTGAGCAGAAATCCCACAGTACCTTCCTGTAGTACTGAAGCCACCCACAGAACCAACTCTGGAGGATCCATGGCAGACTTCCACAGCTGGAAACCAGGCAAGGAATAATCAGAAAGGCACCGACTGCGTTCTCCACTAGTACTTGTGACAAATTAAGTTATGCTGCCGCTGGGGTTAAGAGTGACTGGAGGAGTTGGAGGATGTTAAGTCATACAAAGGCAGGTCCATGTTCACTCTTAGGGCCAGCCTTGCCATGACCCACAGTGTAACACAAAAGCAAGTGCTAGCAGGTTAGTGGAGCCCGAGCTCAGGAGCTCTCTCTGGAGGAGGAGGGATGTGAGCGGCCCTCGGTGCATAAACGGGCCCACGATGGCCTGGGGCTGAGCATTCGCCAGTAGCCGCACTGCTGAGCAGCTTCAAAGGGCAGTGCCGGTGCCCTCAGTCTGAGCAATAGCTGTAATTATAGTAAGCAACCTGGACAAAAAATGCAGCTGCATGGAGCTCAATATGCTCTCAAACCTGTTCTTCACCACTGGGTAAATATAGTCTGCGTTACCAAAGATGTTTTAATGAGAAAACATGCCACATCATTTGGTATATATTTTTAATGCAGTTCTTCAAACTGGGGGAGAAAAGAAGGCAGCAGGGACCAGCCAATCAACCATCAGTATCAAGTGGTTATTTCTGTTTGTATCGACTATTAAAAATCAGTCTTTTTTTTTTTGTACTCACATTTCCTTAATATATATGTACATTGGTTTAGAAAACAACAACCAAAGGGTCCAGTCAGTGGTGCTGACAAGAATAGTCTGTTGAAGTGACCAGAGCTGCTGAGCTGAGTACCGGCTGCAAATCTGAGTGCAAAATAGGCAACAAAATTATAATTCCAATAAAGAAGAGGAAACCCAAATTCATCAAATCTACTGAAAATGAAAAGAAAATGCAAAAAAAAAAAAAAAAAAAAAGAAAGGCATTACTAAATACAAAACGTAGCTGATAGAAACTGGCCTTGACCTCAGCTGGCCCAAATTAAACTGCAATTATTGCAGGATTAATTCCCCTGGCACACAAAACCAGCTTGTCAACAGGCACTGAAAACATTCTGTAAATCAAGAGACATTAAAGCCTAGCTGAGGATTATGCATGAAGAGTGAGAGGATTATGACAGGAAACAGTTTTTAGTCTGGTGAGCAGCAAACTCGGCTTCCTAGATAAAGGAAATTGCATGTAATGTTCCCATACAGTCTAGAAGAAAATGCAGCAAGCTTCTGCTGCTGAAGAAAAAAAGGTACAAAGATCAAAACCTGTAAGATGAAGCCTTCCCACGCAAAGCCAACAAATGTCAGAGATACCTCTCTGTGTGTATGCAGCAGAAATTAACACATTTTCTTTACTAAGTGGATTGCAGTTTGCTTTTTTTTTCCATTTATCTATTTGCTGTCAGTAACAAAATGCAATTTTCTAGTCTATTTTAAGTTCTTGCTATTAGCATATCTGTTTTTCAGGCTTTTTGCCTGAAACTGTAGGTCATACTGTTGGTGAGGAGCTGAACAAGAGGTAAGCTTATTTAAAAAGACGAGGGATAAAGAAATGCATGCAATCTGTTGAAAGCTATTGCACATGAAGGAATGTCTTCTTTCGCCATATTAATGCAGTCTACACAACTCCTCTGTGTGACCCAGTGGGGAAGTAACAGCAAGAGGGAACATTAATCCTGAAACTTCTATGGCATGTCTGCGCTCTCTGGAGAAGTTCTCTGTGGCCGTGATTTGCCCCCAGTCATCCCAGTTCAGGAAAGCCCTTATGTATGTGCTTAAGCTCCGCTGAAGTCAATGGATTTCAGTGCCAGCTTAAATTTAAGAGTCTATTGAGAGCTCTCCTGAATAGGGATTTGTGCTTATTGCACTTGGTTCAATCAGCCCATGAGATTTTGGATTCTGAGTTTTTCAGCACGAGAGTAGAAGTAATATACTTGGTGTATTAAGATCAGTTCTTTCTAGTATTTCTAGTGTACGAAAATGTTTGGAGAGTGGTAGGGAACAATTCATTCTGAAGAGACATCATTGTATATTGTATATGCACACACAGATATGTCTACACTCAGAAAAAAATTGGTTCAACATTGACGAAATATTCACCTTTGTTTGGATCAATGCTGTGGCTGACTATTTCTGTAGCACAGTGTCCAGAATAACTGAATTATCCGTGAAAGTTTTACAGTCCCCGCGAATGGCACACAGTCATTATGACAATTGAGCGCTGTTCCGCACCCAGTGAAGTCCTTGTTGAGTGTACTGAACTAAATGCTCCATACTGCTGTGCAAGGTGACAGGTCCCATCAACGCATCCAAGTCGTTAAAAAAATCTATGAGGAAAAGAAAAAAAAAAAGATTCAGCATTAGAACAGCAAAGTTATATTTTCGGTTTGTCACCCTTTAGGAGATTTTATTTTCCCACAAATGGAGTCAAGCTGAACATCTCACAAGAATGAAAGTTTAATGCTGCTGAGATTCATTTTAAAGCCCTGTGCTTCATGATGTTACAGGCTGATGCAATTTTCATTTTAAAGAACAAAACAGTTAGTTCTTCGGCTCTGCATTTCTGGTAAACCTTGAAACAGCAAACAAGTGCTGGGCAGGACTTGTTTTGAGATTAAGGACAACTAAATCCCAAAGATTACATACAAGTGTCTACCTATACGTATGCTAGATACCATGACAGTCAAAGAGACTTGTACAACAGCGTCATCCCAGACTAAAACATAATTTGCCTAATGAGCCAATTGGGGTTTGTATTAAGAGAGAATGGGGCACCTGGTTCCCTTCTGTATCTACCTGTGTCTGTGTGTGTGCGAGGGTGGGTGGGAGATGTCCGTTCGTTATGCAAAAGGAGAGAAGCTCCTTCCTGACATGGCCCAACTAAATGCATCCACCATCCTCCTCCGCGACTTTGCTGCAGTCAGGGAGCTGCCTTGCCTCCCCCAAACTTCCTTCTCCAGAGCAACACAAATGGCAGCAAGTGCTACCTATAGCCATGCCAGTAACTGTGCTGTCTGCAACCTGTTCTTGCCACATAACGACAAAAATAGTGCTGTACTGCTGCTTCTGAGTGAGAGAGCTACGAGCACTACCTTTTGGGGCTGCAGTTTGGGACAGACTGAAATAGAAGAAAAAAAAAACCTCCGCAGTCCTTCCCTGTGAACATGGTCCTTATCGAAATAGATCAGCGATGTATGGGACCCAACCCAAGTATACATTCCCTTACAGCAGTCCAGTGCATTGAATCCCTCACCTCTGTTCTCCTTGGCCAGGTTGTCAGCCATCTCCCAGTAGTCATAGCTGTGCAGGATGCTGTTGGTGATGCTGACGTGGTTGGCGGCCATCTGATGAATGCGCTGCGGGATGCTGATTATGGGAGATGGGGAAGGGGCCCCTGTGCTCCCCTGAGACCCTACAGAGCTGACTGGAGAAGGGCTAGGAGACATGGGTGATGGCGTTCCCGTGCTCCTGAAATTGGATATTAACACAGTTACTTAGAAGGGTGGCGGGATTAAATACTTGAGAGTATTCAGACACCTACACACTGTAGGTAAGAAAATACAATTTCTGGTAGCCAATCTGATAAAAGTTTCTGTGTGACATGTGAACTTACTTTCCACTGGCACCCCAAGGCGATGGGGTCTGGGCAGCTTTTGATGAATTCTGTAAAGGCAAAAATAATTCACAATGTATATGATGTATATAAGACCACAAAACAAGCAACAGTAAACAGTATAAAAGCAAGGATAGGTAAATAAAAGATTGTGCAGCTAGAAATAATAATGTCTCAAGGTGCAATAAACCCCCTGAGACCAGTTTGGCTGTGATGAATCAGTGCTGCAGCACAGAGACAAATCACATTCTGTTAAACTCTCTGGAACTGGGACTGGTAGAAAAACATCTTAAAAGTGAGTCTTTTCATGGAAAACCTTGGAA